CACACACACACAAACACAACACACCACACATACACACACACACACACACACACAACACACACACACACACACACAAACACACACACACACACACACACACACAACACAACAAGGATGAGCATCGTCATGATCATCTCTTTTCCGTGATCGTTTCTTTGGGATATTTTTCTTTTTGCGATAGAGATTAGCTTTGTAATTAGTACCGTGACATGTTGCGATGTGGCACTCACGCAACTTCCCCCTCATATTAATTCTTCCCTTCCGCCACGGCTAACGCATGCAGCTACTTCTTGTTGTCAACCTTCGGCTTGATCTTGATGGAATTTCCGGCCGAAACGACGTTTTGGTCATGCGCGATAAAACAGAGGAAGTCGATGTCTATTGGCGCCCGTTGCAGAGTAAATTTATCCGCTAGGAACTAGGATGCCCTGAGTGGAATTCTCGCGCAGCGATTAAACCGTTGCTACTTACGATCCCTGCCACCAACATGCGTTCTACTTCTAACCGACGGAGAGCTGCTGCCCTCGTGATTTGTAAGAAATGAAGGTAAAGCCATGCCTGCGTGTTGCAATGTCCATTCGCACGCTCTTCTCTCTATCAACCTCCGTCCGTCTCTCTCTCTCTCTCTCTCTCTCTCTCTTCTCTTCTCTCTCTCTCTCTCTCTCTCTCTCTCTCTCTCTCTCTCTCTCTCTCTCTCTCTCTAACCCACCCCTCTCCACACAATCTCACCTGCCCCCTGTCTCTCACCCACAACGCACAATACCGGTGGCCCGCTATCAGACACACCATCAATCATAATGTGACATCGCGAGTCTGAAATGCCTCGACATTTGAGTAAAAAAAAGTGCATCGCACTGATCGATTGATCGATCATTGATCACATCGATTCTGCACGATTACCTGCAGCAATGGCGCGTAATATAACCCGGGCTGCGGCAACGACGACGACGACATCTGGCGAGGTCACCGATTAGGCCATCGTGCTCAGAAATAAATTGTTTTTACCGCGGCAAATTTTTAACCCTTTAACACAATCAGGGGTTTCGTTACACTATAATTTAACCGCGGATAAATGATTTTTTATCGCGATTAGATGATCACATTTTACTTAACCATCGTTTTACAAGTCGCGTTACATATATGATTTACTCCCCATGGATTATAGCACATCTCGGTTATTCTCAATTTCTCTTTGATGCCTTATATATATGCGAATAGCGATTATACCCTAGAAGGGAAATGAAGAAAACCGAACAGTAATATCAAGAGCTAATAATTATTAGCTCTTGGTAATATTAACGCCACGGCAAAAAAAACCGCGGGTCATACGCGCGTATACAATCTCTGTTATACATTTTCCTGACGTTGCCTTCACGCACGTAGCAAGCAGGCATCGGCTATGGCCGAGTTAACAGCTTCTGGGCAACGTGAGAAAAGGACATAAAAAACAATGGCTGTGTGTATGTGTAGCTCAAATGTAGTGTAAACACCGCCGGGGTGGCCACCATCAGCAACTAGGGCACGAGTTTCGTCTACACGGACACTTCCGTAACGCGAGAACCCGCGTGCGGAGATTGTGGGGGGAATATAACACGCACATGGGCAAGCAGGCCCGCGCACGCACGTATACACCCGCGCGCGGACGCACGCACATGCACGCACACACACACGCACACGCACACGCACATACACACACGTACATACACGCACATACATGTACACACACTCACATGCACGCACACGCACATGCACGCAAACCCCGCACACGCAAACGCCCACGCACAAATACTTGCACGCACACGCACGCACACGCACTCACGCACACGCACTCACGCACACGTACGCACACACACACACACACACACCCGCGCGCGCGGGTGTGCACTTACATACACGCACGCACGCACACACGCACACACGCACACACGCACACACAAGCACATGCACGCACCGACTATACGCGCCCTGTTATCAACAGCTCTCTGCACATCGCTCTGATAATATCATGATAATATACATCGTGTCGCTATAATATACTCACCGTCTGTTCGGACCCTCTTCGTCTGGTCGCCTTCTTTCGCTTTAACTTCGCGTTTACTTTCTGCGCCTGCGTCTGAGCGAGGTCCGAAGCTGCAGGGCTGCTGCAAAACACACACACGTACACCAGATCGTGAGGCACAGTAGTCAGACACATACACATAGACACACGCGCGTGATCGACGCCACGCGAATCGTGACCAGCAGCAGAGTAACAACAAAAACAACAACAACAACACAAAACAAAACAAACAACAACAAAAGCAGACGACGTCGTCGCTACGGCGATATCGGGAGAGAGCTCACTCCCGCGTGAAGATGTACGCGATGCGTAATTCACGCTCACTCACGCCGTGGCACACGACCACGCGCCCACGATATACGTACCGATACTATACTCACATCCATAATAATTGTTCTAGATTATTAGGTTCTCCCCTAGATTCTGATAGAAGGTTATATATATATATATATATATATATATATATATATATATATATAATAATAAATTAATTATTTATATATATAATTATATATTAATTAATTAATTAAATTTTTCACAGTGAGAGAATTCGGCTGCCTTGGCGGAGGTCTGCGCTCTCCGAGTGCTCTAGTTTCCAATAGTTTAGGCTTGCACATGCCTTTTTATTCACTCCTGATAACATATTTCCCCACTATCAGGTGTATGCTAATGCGTAAATAAGGCAACCTCTGTGTCTTGTCTGTGGTTTTAACCTCACAAATTAGCATTTACTATGTATTCCTACCGATTCCCCCCCCCCTCCCACCCCCACATGGTGTGCCAGTAGCCCTACTACATCTCCCTCAGTCTCGCACCCCCCTATCCCTATACCATTATCGTACCCCAACCCCTGGCTCTACTACATCCATGCGATGACATAAGTTGGGATACGTCCCAGTACTGCCAATATACCCTTGGATTACAGCGGCAAGGCTAGACATTCTCTATTCTATCCTCTCATTCCCTGCGTGGCCTGACTTCTCATAGGTAACCAACGCTATTAATAGCTATCTTTTTTATTCATTTTTTTATTAATCGGTGTACTTAAGATCGTTACAGTTTCGTAGAATGACAGACAACTTCTAATGTTTTTCGCTTGCCTCCATGCGTGCTAACGGGTTATTGACGAGGATTGGTCCGTCATAATTTAATAATTCCTTAATACTTTATCCATAATACTTAAACACCATCTGAATTTCTCATCTTGTCTTCATCTATAATATTAATCCTTAATCCTTAAACGCGAAATCAACAAATGAATCATTAAATAACGATACACACCCCCCCAAAAAAAAATCTCGACGAAATCGATTGACGAAATCAAACTCAAAATTTTTTTTTAAACCTAGTTTACGCCGCCGCCGCGCCGCGCCGCGCCGCGTCAATCGGCTCACCTTCGGGCGCAGTCGGTTGTGCAGCGCGAATGGTTCCGAGTTCTTGCGCAGCTGTTGATGAATGACGATGTACGGCTCCGAGTACTTGCGTCCGGCTCCGAAGCTCACCGCCTCGCAGGCCTTACGCACGGGAGACGGCGACCGACGCAGCTTCTCGCAGGCCGCCTCCAGCTTGCCGCTGTCGCTGCCATGGAAACGGAGCTCGGGATGCTGCTGAATGAACTCGGTTACCTGCGATGACAGCGGCGGCGACGTTGCGTTATAAGAGGTAGTTAGATAGGTAGGTAGGTAGGTAGGTAGGTAGGTAGGTAGATAGGTAGGTAGGTAGGTAGGTAGGTAGGTAGGTAGGTAGGTAGGTAGGTAGGTAGGTAGGTAGGTAGGTAGGTAGGTAGGTAGGTAGGTAGGTAGGTAGGTAGGTAGGTAGGTAGGTAGGTAGTAGGTAGGTAGGTAGGTAGGTAGGTAGGCAGGTAGGTCAGGTAGG